AGGAGGAGCTGACTTTTGTCTTGGAGGGGCGGGAAGGTGGGGGAGGGAGCTGGGAAACCACCCCTCCCGCCCCCTACAACCGATGGTGGGGACAAAGGGGGAAACGACCGAGCCTGCGCTGGGGGGCACCGCCGCGAGCAACCGGGAAGAACTGGGGCGCGGAAGGGATACCCAAAAGCGTCGCCCCTAGGAGCCCGACACGCACGACCCTCTTTCCCGCCCGGTCCCTTACCAAAGCAACTTTCTTCCGAGCGGCCCAAAACACTCGGTCCCGCCGAACCACTGATGACCCAGCTCCGCTCTCCTAGAATCCCAGCACAGAAGCTGCGCGGGTGCTGGAGGCGCGGGTCACGTCGCGGTCCTCCAGCCCCCTCCCCACGCGCTCGCAGCCCCACCCACCCCGTCCGGCCGCTGCGCGCTGACTCCCGCTCCCCAGAGCCGGCGGCGGGGGGAAATGGGGCGCGGGGTGGAGGCCCGAGGTCGGCAGGGCGCTCGGTCGCAGAGCCAGCCCACCTTGGTCGCCAGCTCCTTGCTCCGGTCGATCCGAGCGCGCGTGAGGGATTCGATTCGAGACATAATCCAGCGTGAGCCGCGGTCAGACGCGGCGGACCCGGGCGTCCAGCTCCGGCGGGGGAGGGGTCCGGCCGCACGCGTCGGCCTTAGGGACAGGAAGTCTGAGTCCCCTAGCCCCGGCACCCAGCGCCAGTTCCTCAAACCCTAGTCTCCTCCCTCACCCGGGCTCAGGAAGGGGGGAGGCGGAGCGGAGGCAGGGCGGGGTACCCGCGCACCGGACGGGACGCCAGGGTTAGTGTTGCTACGGCCTGGAAGACTAGGTCCTTGGATAGGTTCGAGGTGTCCTCTTGCCTTTTCCCTTTAGCGCTTAGGGACACTCTCTGACCTCAGCGACCCCTCTTAGTTTGCCTCTCCCTAAAAAAACACTGGCACCCATTCCGGGTAACTTCACTCTTTAAAGACCCTCCGGTTGGAGGATTCTGTCGCCTACCTCGTCGGCCGCAGGGGGAACTAGCCTTAAGGGCCTATCAAATAGACTTGAGTACACAGATCTCCTTTACAGCTGAGGACTGGTGTGACAAGAGGGAGGAGGAAATCAAAAGGGAACTAGAAGCTTCACCAGTAAATTTCATCCCCCCCCCCCAAAAAAAAAGTAAGGAGGAGCCATTTCCAAAGACCACAGAAGAGGGTTTCCCACCACCACCGCAAGCTGCTCACACCTCTGGGACCACACTCAGACCCGGACCGCGCCGTCATTCCCAGCACCACCTCTGCCAACCACTTTGGCAATGAAGTGAGAAGTCTGCACCTTTCCCGAGGCTAACTGAGGAAATCCTTCCTCGTGTCTGGACACCAGTTCCTGCCGCTGCAAATTCAACAAGACATGGAAGACTCGACACAACCTGCCCCGGTCAGGAAGTAGCTGGAGTTTGCTAAGGAGTGTGGGTGGCTTTTCATCTCTTTGGACCTTTTGCGTCAACCTGAGTTTCCTGACACTGGGGAAATTCTTTCTCCAGTCTGCTTCGTTTCCACTTTCAAGGTCTCCCACTGCCCTGTAAAAATCAGAGCATCCTGGGACAAAACTGTGTAGAAATTTCAGGGTCCTGCCTAACCTAGTCCCAAAAGGTGTGTGGTGAGGGAAGGGAATGAGGCCCCGCCCACGACCACTAGCTTCCTGGCCTTCTCAGTAGCCTAACCAGGCAGAACGCTGCTGGGCTGCAGGTTTCCAGCCCAACACGGCACTGGCACTGGCACTCTGGTGGCGCCAGTTTTAGTCTCCTTCTCTATTTTGGGCTCCACTGCCTCAACCTCGGCTGTGCTGATTGGGCTCCTCACCCCTGAACCACGCCCACTCATTCCTCTGACCTATCCCCTGCCTGGCAACTCCCTCACCTTCTGCACCCATGCTCCTACTAAAATCCTTTTATAGTAAAGGCGGGGGTGGGTGGGGGGCGCTATGCCCAGGTCAGGCTAGCTAGAAGCAGAAAGGACTTTCCCAGGCCAATTCTGCTTCCTGTAAAGGAAGCCTAAGGACGGCCTCAGGAGCATCTGACTCTGGGACTCCAGACTGGCGCTCCTTTAAGAGACCAGCCATGCCTAAGAAATGTACTAACTTTAAAAACAGACTCCTAGCTGCCTGTCTTTACCACTGGGGGCTCAGAGACCTCTGTTAGTCTGGAACCTCACTTTTCTCCAAGGCCCGGGCCAGAAAGTGTTGTAAGTCAAATCCTGAGTGAGCAAAAATCTAGGATTTGACCCCAAGACTCTCTGAGGGACTGGTCAGTCTATAAAGTCCACGTGGAATGTCTGACCCCCAAGCCTTTTACTGTGTTTTCCCATCCCACCGGTTCTCACCGAGCTCTGAAAACCAAACCTTTAAAACCACCTGTATTTAATGAGCTATGTCCTCAGCTTGACTCAGTTTCTGGTTTCTGCACCCTCTGGAACAATGAATGTTTTCCTTTCTTCTGGGTGTCCTCCCTTTTCCCAAGCCCTTTCATTCCAGACCCATGTGATCCTAGCCAGTGAAACTTTTCAGAAATTTTTTTATATATATAAAAAAGAAACCCTCTGCCAGAATCCAAAAGTAGCCAATGCCCTCAGTGAACCGTTTAACTCAAAAAAAAAAAAAAAAAAAAGGAAAAGAAAAGAAACAGTACCATTCCCATTGGCAGCTAGGAAGGGAAGGGTCTGATTTCCGAAGGGCCGTTGTAGGAATCAAGAGTACCTCTAGCTGTCTAGACTCAAGACATACAGTCCACAGATCGACCTTTCTGCTGATTAGTTTGGGCCTTAGACATGACTTGGAAATGACTAAGGCATACGTGACCACAGTGGCTTCCCAGCGAGGGCTGGTGGAGGAAGGCTTTGGGGTTCAGTGAGAGAGTCACAGGTTTCTTAATGAGTGCTGCACTTCAAGCAGCTGAGGGATCCCGAGTGACCCAGCTTCTAGGTTATCTTGTCTGTGAAACGGTGATTAATGTGTAGCCATCACTTATCTCTGCCACAGTCATCCTAAAAAGCTCTAGAAAAGTGTTTTGCCACCTATGGGATGCCAGTCAAGTTGGGAGGAACAGGCTACCTCCTCCTCTCCATCCCCAGCAATATGCAGCAGTGGTACCCAAGCTGGGAACAAGGGAGAAAGGGGCAGCATGGTGTAGGCAGACGCATTCTGGAAGGGTGTAGGGAAGGGAGACAAGCCAACAAGCAGAACAGTACACTGATCTATGCCACCTCTTCTTGGTCCCTGTCCATACTCCAGAGTCTCTACCCAGGTTTCCTTTCTTCAGGTTCCTCAATCTCCTACCAGGCTGCTAGGCCAAGGGTGAGCAAGTGTTGTGTGACAGCCTGACAGAGCCTGTGTGTGTCCTGTGTCCTGTGTCCTGACGGGGGTGACGACAGCCTGACAGAGCCCTTGTCCTGACGGGATTCAGATCCTAGGGGCTTCCTGCTTGCTTTGTTTTCTAAGCAATCTGATTCCTGACCCTGCCTGCCTCCCCCATGTCCAGGGATTTTAAGATTGTGATATTCCGGGAGCTGGAGAGATGGCTCACTGGTTAAGGGCACTGACTGCTCTTCCAGAAGACCCAGGTTCAATTCCCAGCACCCACAAGCAGCTAACAACTGTCTGTAACTCCAAGATGTTACAGCTCACACGGACAGACATGCAGGCAAAGTGCCAATATACATAAAAATAAATAAATTATATATATAAAAAAGATTGTGATATGTTTTCTCATGTCTCCTTTTCATCACTTTCAACTCCCTCTCTGGGAAGGCCCTAGCAATGGATCTGCTTCCATCACTACCTTGCCTGCCCAGCTGAGGAAATCCTTCTTTGCACTTGGCTACTGTGGTAACAACCTGACTGGAGTGACCCATGGTACTGCCAGCTGAATAGGATGGTGTCTCCTTCAAGCTCCTCTCGGTGACTGGAGACCACCTCAGGCTGGAAGCACATGAACACTAATGGAAAAGGAGAGGGATTTATTGTTGCCACAGTAAGTGGAACCTGCAAGCCTGGAGCTCAGAATCAGGAGGCTGGAGGCAGGATAATGAAGGCCAACCAGGCTGAAGGACTGGGGAGTAACTGCCAGAGAAGGAAAAGGAGAGGAGGGAAGAAGGAAGGAAGGGAGGGAGGGAGGGAGGGGAGGAGGGAGGGAAGAAGGGAAGGAGAAAGGCACCACGGCTAGGTGTGGTGGTGCATGCTTGGGGTCCCAGCTCTTGAGACAGACACAGAAGGATCAAGAGTTAAAGGTCATCTTCAGCTATACAATTTAAGGCCCACCTGGCTTATATGAAACCCTGTCTCAAAAATAAATAAATATAAACAATGGTCATGTGTGGTGTCTCATGCCTAAAATCAAGAATCCCAGCATTCTGGAGGCTGAGGTGGGAGGAGAGTCACAGCTGAGGCCACCTGGCCACATAGTGAGTTCAGGGGAAATGACAAAGGCAGAGCAGAACACCTTTTCTTCCTGGCATCCCAAGGCACGTGGCCACACATGTGCCACATAATCACATCCCTCCCTGGCTCCCACTCTGCCTGTGGTCTTATTTCAACCCCTTCAGTTGCTGTATCCACCCATAAAATTATGAGTGTGAAAGCACTTTGAAAACCCTAACAGTCTATGAAGAAGCGAAAGGCGTTGCTGTAATTATCATTCTTGTGTCCGATGGGCACGATTCCTGCTGCCCACCTCTTAGCTATAGGCGGCCTGAAGTGAGGGAGCCTTAGGCCATTCCTCAGCTCCAGTTATCCACAGCAGCTGTCTGCTCAGCTGGAGGGGAGGGAAACAGAGAAAGGCCGATTTACTGGGACACTCAGAGCTTTGAAGGCACATCATGTGTTCTCTTAAAATGAGAGCCCTGGCCCTGAGTCTCTATCAGGAAAGTTGGGAAGGGGTGACCTGCTGAGACACGGAGGAGGAAGAGAAGTGAGGAGGGAAAACAGATCTATGCCTCCTATTTCCCGGTCTGCCTCCTACCTTGGCCTTGCCTGTCATGCCCAAGAGGAAGCTGAAGGTCCGTCGCAGGGAGGTGCCTGCCCAGGTCCCTGAGTCTTCTTCCAGCTGGTTACCACTGCAAAAAGACAGGGAAAAGGTGAGGAGAGGGAACTGGGAAAGAAAATCGACCACAGGGATGGCAGTGACCCCTGCCATTGAGGTAGAAGTCTGGAAACGCACCCCCCAGTTCCCACCTCCTAGCTCTTCTGGATCAGGATGTTCAAGCTTTCAGACTCCTCTATTTATGAGGAAACTCCAGACTCCTCCCAGATAAAGGCAGCCACCCTCTTCCTCTCCAGCTGGAGATGGGAGGGCCGAGTCCCTCTCAAACTGTTCTCCATCAGATGTGGTTGGAGAGAAGGCCCTTGAGGGGCATATCCCCCTCTCAGAACAAGAGCCCTGTGTAGACCCTTTGCTGTTTGGAAAAAGCCCCTGGGCCTAAAGCCAATAAGAACTGAATTTCCTGGGATTTCATCAGCCCATCCCATGAGCTAATCCCGACCGGGGCCAAGAGGTTGTGTCAACTAGAGAATTTCAGGATCACAAATCAGAGCCCCATTCTTAAAGGGCCCATGTGTTGCTCACACAGGCACACAGAGTGAGAAGGCTGACCCATCTAACAAGGCTTTGGCCACACAGGCCAGATAAACAGGTGCTGATTTTGCAGGCTTGTTTGCTTAGTTCTTGAAATGTCCAGCATCCATGTCCATCTCTAAGCTCCACTCCAGGCCCCTGTGCTGGGAATTCTCCAGCCCTCAGCTAGCTCTCCTTCAGCAGTCAGATGCCATCCACAGCTCACCCCGGGGACCAGGCCACTCAGCAGCACAATGGCCTGCTCTACTTCATGTCACAGACAGCAGCAAGCGAATCTCAATCCCTCTCTCTCTCTCTCTCTCTCTCTCTCTGTCTCTCTCTCTCTCTCTCTCTCTCTCTCTCTCTCTGCTATTTGTTAGAATCCTTAGGGTTTGGTTCCTACTCCTTTTCTCTCGTTCGGGGAGATGGCTATTTGAAGGCCTCCTCAGAAGCATCATGGGGACAGTGGGGAATTTTAAGGCTACACAATCCATGGCCACACCCACCACTCCTACATCTAGGCCTTTGATGGGCTCAGAATCCCCGAAACTCACCATTTGCTGAGGTCTGTGCCAGAGGATCGGAACGAGTTACCTGCTAATGCACAAGGAAAAGCCGTGTTTAGGAAAAGCCAGACAAAGGCACCCAGGGCTGCCTTCCCAACCCCCTCCACCTGGATCAGGTTCCCAGGCTGCAGGTGCCTGTGACGCCATTCCTGAGGGCGGCCACTGGGGAGCAGGGACAGAGGGCGGGGTCTGAGGAGAACTGAAGTGAAGAACTAGCTGGACTGAGGCTGAAGCTCAGCACGGAGCTGCCCTTTGTTCAATTATTCGTGAGTATGTGGAGTGGGGACAGGCATGAGGAAGTCAGAAGTTTCTCCTTCCCAGGGATTGAACTCAAGTTGTTAGACTTATTGGCAAGCACCTTTACCCAGTGAGCCATCTTGCCAGCCCCCGCATGTGCCATCTTCAGAACAAAGATGCACTTCTAGAAACTGCCCCCCATTTCTAGTGATAGGGGAGCCTGGGAAGACCTCTTGTATCTTGTGTCCCCCTCGTTCACAGGGGGACAGTCTCAGGGATGCTGAGGTCCTGAGTAAGAACCCTCACTTGAAGGGATTTTTGGAGCCCCAATGGTGTATAACTACACACAAGGCAGGTGATGGAGATCCAGAACAGCCTACTCTGCTGGGCACGGCTGGGCACTGCTGGGCACGGCTGGGCACGGCTGGGCACTGCTGGGCATTGCTGGGCCACTGGTTTGAGCTCCACTTTTACTTACCACCTGGATCTGAGCAGTCCAAGAGGAAATTGATGCCACTCATGGACACAGCCTTGGACAGCATGCCAGGGGCCTAGTGAACCAAAGAGGCAGCAGATAGCAGGCAGGAACTCTGACCCTGGAGTTGTGCAGAGTCCTCACATGAAGACCATGCATTGTCCACCTCCTCAGACGTGTTCCCTTCCCCACAGTCCAACCCTTCCACCAGGCCTCCCAAGATTCTCCACACCCAATCTAGGTTATTTCACTGGAAATAGTTGGGATATTATTCCTGAGGTTTATCCACTAACCTGGACAGAAAACACAATCCAGTATATTTTTTTCATTGTTGTTTTTTGTGTTTCTATTGTACATGTGTTATAGCAGGAGGTGTGGAGGTCAGAGGTCACTCTCAGGGTTTATTTTCACCCTCCATCATGGGATCTAGGGGTCGACCAGGTGGAGTTCTGTACAACAAGCACTTCTGTCTGCTGAGCAGGTCTGTCAGCCTTTTCCTTCTTTTTCTTCTTTTTCTTTCTTTCTTTCTTTCTTTCTTTCTTTCCTTCTTTCTTTCTTTCTTTCTTTCCTTCTTTCTTTTTGTTTTTTGTTTTTGTTTCTTTTTAAAGATTTATTTATTTATTATGTATACAGTATTCTGCCTACAAGGCCTGCAGGCCAGAAGAGGGCACCAGATCTCATTACAGATGGTTTGGTTGTGAGCCACCAAGTGGTTGCTGGGAATTGAACTCAGGACCTATAGACGAACAGGCAGTGCTCTTAACCACTGTATGTGCATACCTGTAGAGGTCAGAGGACAACCTGCAGGAGTCAATCACTTCTTTCCTTCTACAATATGTATCTTAGATATTAAACTCAGGTCATCAGGAGTCTTTTCTCACTAAGTCATATCCTGCCCCCCTTTTTTTCCTTCCTTTGTGTTTGTGTACGTGTGTATGATTGATTTGAGACAGGATCTTCCTATGTAGTTCAGGCTGGTCTTACATTCATGATTCTGTTACCTCAACCTCTTCAGTGGTGGAATTACAGACCTGTAGCACCATATCTGACCCTAGCGTTGGTTTCTTTTTTGATGTAGGATCTCTTGTGTAGCTCTGACTGGCCTGGAATTCACTAGGTAGACAGGCTGGCCTTGAACTCACAGAAGCCTGCCTGCCTCTGTGCTGAGTGCTAAGATTGAAAGTTTATGCCACCACAAGCAGCTACAAATTATTAAACAAACAAACAAAATGAAAACTCTGTTGTGGTGTGGGAGAATTATCTGTATTCTGTCAATCATGTATTTTAATAAAACGCTGATTGGCCAGGCAGGAAGTATAGGCGTGAAAACCAGACAGGAAGTAGAGGTGATGCAATGAGGACAGGAGAATTCTGGGAAGCAGGAAGGTTCCTCTGCCATTCCTGCCCAGACCACCAAAGAGGCAACATGTAAGCTGACAGCTGAAAAAGGTACCAAGCCACCTGGCTAACATAGATCAGAATAATGGGTTAATATAAGCTATAAGAGTTAACAAGAAGCCTGAGCTAATGGGCCAATCAGCTTTATAACTTATAGAGATCTCTGTGTGATTGATTTTCTCTGGGACTTGCCGGTTGTGGGGTACCGGGCGGGGACAGATACCCCAACAAGCTGGCCCTCATGTTACACTGTTGTTGTTGGTTTTTTTTAAATGAAAACAGAGCCCAGGGCTGGAGAGATGGCTCAGAGGTTAGGAGCACTGGCTGATGATCTTCCGGAGGTCCTGAGTTCAATTCCCAGCAACCACATGGTGGCTCACAACCATCTGTAATGAGATATGGTGCCCTCTTCTGGCCTGCAGGCATACAAGGAGGCTGAACACTGTGTACACAATAAATAAATAAACCTTTAAAAAAAAAAAAAAGAGGGCTGGAGAGATGGCTCAGAGGTTAAGAGCATTGCCTGCTCTTCTAAAGGTACTGAGTTCAATTCCCAGCAACCACATGGTGGCTCACAACCATCTGTAATGGGGTCTGGTGCCCTCTTCTGGCCTGCAGGCATATACACAGACAGAATATTGTAATACATAATAAATAAATAAATAAATAAATAAATAAATAAATAAATAAAAGAAAAAAAAAAGAAAAAGAAAACAGAGCCCAAACTGACATAAATCATCAGATACACAATAACCATAAAGGCTCAGTGTCAAAAATGTCTAAAGGACGCATTCAGTGCAGGGCAGGAAAGAGCATAGGCTGCTTCAGAGTCAGGATAATGAAATCACCAAGGGCCACATGAAAGTTCCTGAAAGTTCTAGATTCTTCCTTACCCTACACAAGGATATGTCAAATGAGTGATAGACCTTAAAATAAAATCTGGAACTTTGCTGGGTGATGGTGGCACACACCTAGAGGTGCAGACAGGCAGATCTCTGTGAGTTTGAGGCCAGCCTGTTCTACAAGAGCTAGTTCCAGGACAACCAGGGCTGTTACACAGTGAAACCCTGTTTCAAAAAACAAAACAAAACAAAACAAAACAAAAAAACCTGGAACTTTGTGCCACATGGTGGCAGTGCACACCTTTAATTCCAGCACTTGGGAGGCAGAGGCAGGAGATATCAATGATATCAATGAGTTCGAGGTCAGCTTGGTCTGCAAAGTGAGTTCCAGAACTGTTACACAGAGAAACCCTGTCTCAAAAAACAAACAAAACAAAATAAAACAAAAAAACTAGAACTTTGAAATTGTTGTGAGAAAAACCACAGATACAGTTTAAGACACAGGCATAGGCAAATCTGTTTCTTTTTCTTTCTGTTTGGAAACAGGGGTCTTCTACAGTGGAGCCAAGGACTATCTTGAGCTGCTGACGCCCCTGCCTCCATCCTTGGAGTGCCAGGAGTCACAGGCTTATAGTACCACATCTAGTTGTTTGTAGCTGGTTTTGTATTCTGTTGCTTTCACTTTATTTTAGTTTTGCAGTTTGTTTATTTTATTGTGTGTGTACCACATGTGTGCAGGCTCCCAAAGAGGCCACAAGAGGGCGTCAAATCCCCTGGGGCTGGAGTTATAAACAATGCAAGCAGACGATACTGGTCCCCTACCAGAGCATAAGTACCATTAACTGCTGAGCCACCTCTAGCCACATCCTCAGCCCCAAGCAGAGGACTCTCTTTCTGTAAAGGATAGGAAATAAAGCAAGAACTGACAAGTGGAATTATGTGAAACTCAGAAAGCTTCAGGGCAGAGGGAAACAATCACCAGAGCAAGAGACAACCTACAAAGTGAGAGAGAGAGCTAGACATGCAAATGATGGGACCAATAGCTAAACACAACGAGAAAAAAGCAGGCATGAAGAAAAAAATAATTAGTCAATAAATGGGCAAGTGAACCGTTCACAAATGAACATCCTTAGCCATCAGGACAGGGAAATAATACCACACTGAGACTATATCTTACCCCTTTCAAAGTGGTTATCATAAAAAATAATAATAAAGGGGGCTCAGTGGGTAAGAGCACTGATTGTTCTTCCAAAGGACCTGGGTTCAATTCTCAGCACTAACATGGCAGCTCACCACTGTCTGTAACTCCAGTTCCAGGGGATCTGACACCCTCACACAGACACACATGCGGGCAAAACACCAATGCACATGAAATAAGAATAAATAAAACAATAAATCATTAAAAATGTTTAAAAAAGGAAAGAAGGAAAGAAAGAAAGAAAGAAAGAAAGAAAGAAAGAAAGAAAGAAAGGAAGAAAGAAAGAAGGAGCTGGGCGGTGGTGGCACACACCTTTAATCCCAGCACTTGGGAGGCAGAAGCAGGTGGATCTCTGTGAGTTCAAGGCCAGCCTGGTCTACAAGAGTGAGTTCCAGCACAGGATCCAAAGCTACAGAGAAACCCAGTATCAAAAAAAAAAAAGAATTAAATAGAGAAAGAAAGAAAGAAAGAAAGAAAGAAAGAAAGAAAGAAAGAAAGAAAGAAAGGAAGAAAGGAAGAAAGAAAGAAAACAAAGGTGCTGGAGGGATGGCTCGGTGGATGAGAGCACTGGCTGCTCCTCTGGTGTATGAGGTCCTTCTGTCTGTGTGTTGCTTTCATTGGTTAATAAAGAAACTGCTTTGTCCTGTCGATAGGGCAGAACTTAGGTAGGCAGGGAAGACAGAACTGCATGCTGGGAGAAAGAAGGGCGGAGTCGGAGAGATGCCATGGAGCCACCACCAGAGATAGATGTGCTGAAACTTCACTGGTAGGCCATGACCTCACGGTGATACACAGATTAATGATGATGGGTTAAATTAATATGTAAGAGTTAGCCAAGAAGAAGTGGTTATTTCGAGGCTAAGCTAGCTGGGCGGTCGAGATGAACAAGCAGGTCCTCCTCCTTGCAACACTCCTCAGATTTGATTCCCAGCACCCACATGGAGGCTCACAACTGTAATTCCAGTCGTAGGGAATCCAATACCCTCTTCTGACTCCACAGGAACCAGGCACACATATGGGTCATAAACTATCTGCAGGTAGATTACACATAAAACATACAAAAGTTTTTCTAGAGAAACCAATTATACAATATAAGTGTCGGTTGCTACTGAGAAATTTAGCTGGGCTGAGGAGGTTAACTTGCGTAATTGTGATGTTTGCTCGTCCAAGCATACACTTCACCAGTATATAGTCCAGGCTGTACCGGCAATGTATTTAGATTATTGTCATTGTTCATCAACAGACTGTGTGTGTGTGTATGTGTGTGTGTGTGTGTGTGTATGTGTGTGTGAGTGTGTATATGTGTGTGAGTGTGTGTATGTGTGTAAGTGTGTGTGTGTGTGTGTGTATGTGTGTGTGTGTGTGTATACAAGAGAGAAAGGGAAAGGAGAAGAGAACAAAGGTCATGACTGGAGAGAAGGTTTTACAGTTATGATTACACCTCTTGCAGAGGCCTGGAGTTCTGTTTCCAGCACCCACATTGGGCAGACAGCTTACAACCACCTATAATTCCAGGTCTAGGGATCCAGTGCCCTCTTCTTTCCTCCTCAAACACAGTGCTCATTTGCACATACCCACATACTTGTATACACACATTTAAAAAAAATTAAACCAAGTGGTGGTGATGCACACCTTTAATCCCAGCACTTGGGAGGCAGAGGCAGGCAGATCTCTGTGAGTTTAAGGCCAGCCTGGTCTACAGAGTGAGTTCCAGGACAGGCTCCAAAGCTACACAGAGAAGCCCATCTCAAAAAACCAAAAAATAAATAGAAGAAGAAGAAGAAGAAGAAGAGGAGGAGGAGGAGGAGGAGGAGGAGGAGGAGGAGGAGGAGGAGAAGGAGGAAGAGAGAGAGAGAGAGAGAGAGAGAGAGAGAGAGAGAGAGAAAGAATCTAAGACCATGTGGTAGTGCACAGCTTTAATCCCAGCACTCAAGAAGCAGGGGCAGGCAGATCTCTGAGTTCGAGGCCAGCTTGGTCTCCATAGAGAGATCCAAGACAGCTAGAGATACATAATAGAGAGACCCTCTCTCAGAAGAAGAAGAAGAAAGAGGAATTATACGGAACTTCATCCCTGGAACCATGGGAAGGTGGATGGAGGGAACTAACATCACAGAGTTGTCCTCTGACCTCCATAATAATAAAATAGGGGGAAAGTATAGGGCTTAGGATGTAGTTCAGCCAGTAGAGTGCTTGTTCAGCATAACCAAGTCTTGGTTCCCATCCCTAGTACCAGAGAAAACCAGCATGGCAGTCTGTGCCTAATATCCCAGAACTTGGAAGGTAGAGGCTGGAAGATCAGAAATTCAGGGTCATCCTCCACTACATAGAGACTTCCAAGATAGCCTGGGGTACATAAGACCCTATCTCAAAAATGAAGTATAAATAAAATACAACTGAGTGACTGCAACAATTTGCCACAACACAGAAATAAAAGATAAATAACAACATCACGGTGAGCCATGTTGTCGGGCATGAGGATGTACCCTGTAAAGTTTAATGCACAGGAAGCTTAGGCAGAAAGATCACAAGCTTGAATCAGCCAAGACTCTGTCTCAAACACAGCACACAAGAAAAAGGAAGATCTATAAACTTTTATAAAGCATATCATCATTGCTTTTAAATTCATCAATAAAAACATATGATAGTATAGATAAAATATACATTTGTATTAAGACAGTTTTTGACAAGGGAAATGATAAACATTCATCATAATGTTACCTATGGTGGGAAGGAGAGGAAGGAGAGGAAGGACTAGAAGAGAACTCAGGGTGAATCCTGTTAACAAGGCTGAGTAGTGGGTGGAGAGTAAACCCGAAAGCTGTCCTCTGGTTCCCACATAGGCACCGTAGCTTGTGTGTGCATGTCCAGGCACGTAAAATAAATAGATGTTAATAAATAAGAAAAAAGGTAATCTAAGCTTGGTGGCACACATCCTTATTCCCAACCCGTGGGAGGCAGAGGCAGCCTGAGAGTTCTGGGAGGCCTTTACAGGGCAGCCTGGTCTACAGAGCGAGTTCCAGGACAGTGCATGTCAGCAGTCAGCAAGGAGGTGATGTCGTGGGATGGGAAGGGTTTTGGCTTCGGCTTTGATCCTTATAAATCTTGTCTTGTAAATATCATATTTTTTAAAAAACAAAACAAAACAAAGCAGAGCAGAGCTGGGATAGCGGTTCATGCCTATAATCCTTGCTCTTAAGAAGTGGGGAAATCGTCACAAGTTGGAGGTGAGCCTGGTCTACATGCCAAGTTCCAGACCAGCTAATGCTACATAGTTTCAAAACACAAAAACAAAACAGAAAAGACAGGGTGTGGTGTGTGCCTGTGGTCCCAGATCTAGGAATGGCAGAAGCAGGAGGACTGAGGGGCCAGTCTGCTATATAAAATAAATCTATCTCTAATAAAATAAATAATGAGATAAAACCAAAAACAAAGGGAAAATCCAAGCGTATATCAGTGGCCGTAGCCAGCTGGAGAACAGAGACAAGTTGCAGCTTAGAAATTCAGGGCCACAGAGGTGGTTGCGCAGTCATGAAAATGATTGCTTCACAAGCGAGAGGACCAGAGTTCAGATCCCAGCACCCCCATAACCAGTCAGGCATTGCATGCACAGGCACGTGCACCTGCACACAGTGTTAAAAGATCAATTTTGGAATGAGATTTTGCTTATAGATATCATCTGCAGCCCCTATCTAACCCCCAGTGAGTCAGACTTTTGGTCTGCAGGCTTTGGAGGAATGCCACAAGAAAGAAAAACAAGAACCCCAAACCCTGAGGCAAAGAGACTATTAAGGAGAGGCCTTAAGGATTAGATGAGGGGAGGAGAGGTCTGTAGCAATTAGGGGAGCCCCAGGGTGAGAAGACACCTTGTAATACCAAGAAGGAAGAGAGTAAGATGAGAAGAGAGAAGGAAGGGCTGGAGAGATGGCTCAGGGGTTGAGAGCACTGACTGCTCTTCCAGAGAACCCGGGTTCAATTCCAGCACCCACATGGCAGCTCAGAACTGTCCATAACTCTTGTTCCAAGGGATCTGACACTCACACAGACATATATGCAGGCAAAATATCAGTGCACATAAAGTACCAATAAATAAATTATTTTTTTTTAAAAAAAGGACGAAACAAAAAAGGAAAAGAAGAGAAAAAATATTTCCTGAACTCACATCAGACGGCAGCCTAATGCCTTTCTTCTAATAACTGCAACTAGAAGGCAGCTTAGCTCTGATCTGGGGGAAGCTGAGATAAACGCGCCAGCTGCCGAGTGGAGAAGATCTAGCAGTGAGATCTGCTCTTTATCTTCTCACTTATGGGAAAGTCGGGAGGAAACTTTCAGAGCAGAGTGGACAAAACCAGAAGCCGGGGTAAGATGAGGTCCTGCCTGAAAGGTTGGACATGGTCTCTTCCTCCCAGCCAACCCTTTCTTTCACAGCACCGAGGGTCAGACTGGAGCTCCTGAGAAGTAGTTCGGGAGGGGATCTCAGCCACAGGCTTGAGGCTCCCTCTGGAGTGCAGGACACTCGCTTGTGGGGCCAGATGTTCCTCTCAGCCTCAGTGGTCTTAGAGCCTAGACCACTTACTAGTTGTGCTCCTCATTCAGAAAGCTTCTTTTTCCACCCTTCCTCTATTGCTGGGGACTAAATCCAGGGACTCTCTTGATATACAGTGACCCCGATATTCACCTACACTCGAGGCTCTGTAGCCTTTCTCAGTCACTGTTTCCACTGAGATTTTCTTAGAGAGCTGCTGTGTTTCTCAGGGTACCAGATGCTGAGTTTATTCCCACAATAATAAGTTCAGTTCCAACTCTGGGAAATGTGGGGCCCACAGAAAGAAGAAATTATAGCCACCAGAGGGACAAAGGTCTTATAAGTAAGGGAAGGGGACAGATACCCGTATCAATACAGAGCCAGCCACGGAAGTGGAGAGACAGCGCTACAGAGACAGAGGCAGGCTACCAAGCATTGGGGACGCGCACACAGACTCAACAAAGTAGACAGAGGGCCACAGAAGATAGATTCAGATGGACCCAGATGGAGCCAGAGCCAGGTCTGGGCACAGAGAGACTCAGCAGCTGATGGAACAGAAGAAGCACAGAGTGGTTGCTGGCAGGGGAGGGTCAGGAGGGGAAGCCAGGCAGTGGCCTGACCAGGGTCTGTCATACCGGGTGGGAGGGTTGGCCACCCAGCTGCGGCGGCTGCTGCTGCTGTGGCTGCTGCTGCTGTGCTCCCGGAAAGGGGTCCAGTTCCTCGTAGCTCTGCAGAAAGGAGTCTTCTTGGGAACCTGGGCATCCCAAGGACTGCAGTCTTCTCCTGAAACACACATTGCCACCACTGCCCTTGTAGCCAGTAGTCAGTGATGGGCACCAGGAACGAACAGTTCCTCAGCCCAGCCTTGTTGTTTGGTTCCAGCCCAGCCCTTCCTGTTAGCATAGGCACAGCTCAAACCCAAACTGAGCTCGGTGCTGGCATAGCGGGCTTCAGACAAGACCGACCCCTGCTGGTACAAGAGCAGTACTGTCCTCCAGAAAGGAAGGGAAGGGCAAGCTGAATTCTCCTTGTTTGGTTTCTGATACAACCTCTCCTCTTACTCAGCTATGGAGAAGTCAGCGCTCCTTCCCTCTGCATCTGAAGCATGGAATTAACGTCTGTTCATGAAGAGTGGGTGATACTTTAGACATCCAGAAAATCTGTAGACAGGCATCACGAAAGGCACTCACTCAAGACTCTCAGCCAGGCCTGTGGGCAGGGCATTGCTGTTCACCAAGTTCCCACAAAACCAATGCTGGGGGTGGGGGGTGGGGCTGGAGAGGTGGCTCAGAGGTTAATTAAGAGCATTGCCTGCTCTTCCAAAGGTCCTTAGTGCAATTCTCAGCAACCATATGTGCTCACAACCATCTGTAATGAGATCTGGTGCACTCTTCTGGTCTGCAGGCATACATGCAGACAGAATATTGTATACATAATAAATAAATAAATAAATATTTAAAAAAACCACAAAACCAATGCTGGGACAAAGTCCTAGGGGGCATCTCCCTTGTTCAGCAAAGCCCCCTGTGCCCATGCTCAAGAGCTGAAGAATGCTGAACCACTCACCAGAGCTAAGGGCTTGTCTAAAGGGACCATACCCAAGTCAGCAGTCTGACCCTCACGTGGATAAGCCCCTCCCCGACCTTCTCTTTTTCTACTTCCTCTATTTTGGGGAAGTGGCCAGGGGTTTTCCAGGAGACAGGGAACACAAGGGTCCCCCTTTCCAAGCTTGGTAAGCACACGCAAAGCTCTGAGCAAGGCAGCCGTCCCCACCAGGCATGGTGGCCTATGCCTGTCATCTCAGCCCTTGAGAGGGGCTTAGGGGGACTGCAAATTTGTGACCAGCCTGACCTACCTGAAACTCTGTCACAAAAATAAAGAAAAACAACTAACAAACTCCCAGGCATAAAACTCCAGGTGTTGCTGGGGAAACACTACCAACTTCCTTCAAGAAACCTCCTAAAGTTCCCTGGGCCTATTTCCTGTCTGTAAAAAGAAGAGGCTGGGTTACATAATAATCTCCAGATTTTTTGACACCATCGTATGGAACTATGAAACTGAAAGGGGACCCACTCAGCACTCCCTCCTCCCACTACCCGCTATCACCGTGGAGAGCCCTTGTTAGCCTCGCCAAGGCTCATCACAGGCCGGGCCTGATTCTCCAGAGCTTCAGCCATTTCTCAGAGACCCTTGTTTCTCCAGGGAAATCAGTGGCAGGGAAGGGGGGTGGGGCCAAAACACCAGGATGTATCTATTTGAACACTTTCTCCAAGGTTTAGAGCCGGGGAACGGAGGGTCAGAAGGTCCCCTGGGGACTCACCTGCTCATTGGGTCCTGTAAATCTTTGTCGGGTCCCCAACTGTGTCTTTTGAAGGAATCATTGGTATGGCTATGGGTGCGGAAAGCCCCCGATCTTCTGAGGGGTGAGGCGTGGGCGCCATCACCGTCTTCCTGTTTTCTCTTTCTCCCTGAGTCCTCCTCGCCCTCCCCTTCTTCCAGCTGCTCTCGGGACTCGATTTCAGACAGGCAGCATTGAGTGCGGCCTCGGGACACTGGGCCTTCACCTACGAGCGACCCCTCTGGGGCCGATTTGTTCATGGGAGGTACACGGAGACAGCTCTGAACAGAGAAGAAAGAGAAGGGTGAGCAGCATTCTAGAACCTTGGAACCAGGGATGATGCTACAGACCTTCAAGAGGCTGAGACAGAAGGATGGCCCTGAGTTGGGGCCAAGCTAAGCTGGACTGCATGATGAGGTTTGTGCTAGTTTGGGCTAAGAGTGAGGCCCTGTCTTTTAAAAAAGAAGAAAGAAGCTGTGAGTGGTTGGCACTCTCCTTTCACGCCAGCACGAGAAGCAGAGGTAAACTGGTCTCAGCAGGTTCGAGGCTAGCGTGGCTTGTGTGTAGCAAATTCCAGGTCAGCCAGGACAATATCGTGAAATCCTATCCTTTTTTTTTTTTTAAGACAGGGTTTCTCAGTAGCTATGGAGCCTGTTCTGGGACTCACTGTATAGACCAGGCTGGCCTCGAACTCACGGAGATTTGCCTGCCTCTGCTTCTCAAGTGCTGGAATTTAAAGGTATGTGCCACCATTGCCCGACTTGTGAGATCCTGTTTTAAGAAAGAAAGGAAAAAAGAAAGAAAGAAAGAAAGAAAGGAAGAAAGAAAGAAAGGAAGGAAGGAAGGAAGGAAGGAAGGAAGGAAGGAAGGAAGGAAGGAAGAAGGAAGGAAGGAAAGAAAGAAAGAAAGGAGGGGCTGGAGAGATGGCTCAGAGGTCCTGAGTCCAATTCCCATCAACCACATGGTGGTTCACAACTCATCTGTAATGGGATCTGGTGCCCTCTTCTGGCCTGTCTGCCATGTAGACAGAACAAATAAATAAATCTTTGAATAAAGAAGAAAGGAAGAAGAAAGAGAAATGAAGACAGAAAGGGCGGCTTGGATGAAGAAGCACAGCGACCAGGCTGCTGAGCCCCTTGCGCCCTCACCTCGCTGTGGCAGAGCCGGAGGATTTAGTGTTGAGGGAGAACAACTTCTGGCTGTCAGTCCAGGGTTCTGTTCAGTGTAGACCTTTACTGAGCGTGGTAGCTCATGTCTGCAATCTCAGTGCTCAGAAGGCAGAACAGGAAAATTGAGAGTTCAACACTGCTGTGGGCAACCTTGTTACAAAATAAAAAACTTTGGAAGAAGATCTTGTTTGCTCATTATTCTTCCATCCATTGAGCATGTATACGGTAGGAAGCCATGCTAAGAAAAGCAGATACGGTTTCTGTCCTTAGGTGTTCATACATGTGTGTGTGTGTGTGTGTGTGTGTGTGCGTGTGTGTGCGTGCGTGCATGTGTGTGTGTCTGTGTGTGTGTGTGCGCGCGCGCATGTGTGTGTGTGTGTCCGTGTGTGTGTGTCTGTGTCTGTGTGTGTGTGCGCGCATGTGTGTGTGTGTGTGTGTGTGTGTGTGCATGTGCTCAGACTAAAGCACAATTTAAAAATGCCTCCATAACTATCAAATGCTACGAGAGAAAGTTCATCCAAAGCCCGTGGCCAGGATGGATGAGGCAAAGGCAGACCTCTAGGAGTTTAAGACAAGCGTGGTCTACATACAGTCAATGACTACAGAGTGAGACCTTGTCTCAGAAAAAAAAAAAAGGCTTTTGTCTATCAGTGGAATAAGTGTATATTACTAGCTGGGAGACTCCAGAAAGCAAAACAGGAGGAAGAGGTTAACTTTGAGCGGGGAGGGTGGCTGGGATCTGAGGAAGGGAAGGAAAGGCTTCTAGACAGGTGGAGGAACAGGGAAGAGCCCAGCCCATAGGAGAAGGCAAACCTGACCGCCTGAGGTCAGGGTCCGCCTGAGGACCGCCTGGACCCTGGAGTAGAAGGAAAGTCCTCTGACCTCCACACATGTGCTGTGGTGTGTGGGTGAATAAGTGGGTTCTTTTATTTATTTATATATGTTTGACGTGTTGTACCTTCGGAGGTCAGAGGACCTTCCAGTAGCTAGCTCTCTCTTTGCTCTCTTTTCACTCCCAGCCCCCTCCCAACTTCCCCTGACCTCTTAGCTCAGGAAATGGCTCAAGAGACAAGGGAACAGCCCCGGCTGGCTCTCTTGCACTGAGGTCACATCAAGTCACAGGTCTGTTCCTGGTGACAGAACTAGGAGGTTCTGAAAGAGGCACTGGAGAGGAAGTGGCCGAGCAGGAAAAAGCGCTAAGCAGTCATTTGATTTACCCCTGTCTCCTACAGCCCTAGACGGTCTGCCTCGCCTTTAGTGGCCTCCCTTAGCTAGCCTGCTCACCACTGACTCACAGACAGTAACTAGGATAGTAACTTAGAGTGACTGTGTGCAGCAGGGGGCGCTGTAGAGCAAAGCTAAGCCCTTGCTTTCTTCAGGTGTGACTGGCGTTTGAAGTCCATTAGATTTGTAAGTACAACCTTCCTAAACCTCGTGATGGTGGGCGTCCTTCTTTTCTTTTCTTTTCTTTTCTTTTCTTTTCTTTTCTTTTCTTTTCTTTTCTTGACTCAGAAAATAAGAGAATGATGTTCCTAGCTGGGTGGTGGTGGTGGTATGCACCTTTAATCCCAGCACTCAGGAAGCAGATCTCTGACAGTTCAAGGCCAGCCTGGTCTACAGAGTGAGTTTCAGGGCAGCCAGGGCTATTACACAGAGAAACCCTGTCTTAAATAATGAAAGAAGCCAGGCGGTGGTGGCGCATGCCTTTAATCCTAGCACTCGGGAGGCAGAGGCACATGGATCTCTGTGAGTTTGAGACCAACCTGGTCTACAAGAGCTAGTTCCAGAACAGGCTCCAATGCTACAAAGAAACCCTGTCTCGAAAAACTAAAAAAAAAGAGAGAGAGAGAGAATGATTTCCTTACTGTGGTGTTTGAATGAGAAAGGCCTCCATAGGCTCAAGTATTTGGTATTTGAACAATTGGTCCCCAGCTGATGGAACTGTTTGGGAAGGATTAGGAGGTGTGGCTCTCAGCTGCTGCCCCAGCACCATGCCTGCCTGCTTGCCTGCGGCCATGCTGCCTGCTATGGTGGTCACAGACTCACCTCTGAAAATGTAAGCAAGCCTCAATTAAAAACTCATGCCTAGCTTTTTAAAAATTTTATTTATGTATTATATGTAAGTAAGTGTTTTGTCTGTATGTATATTTGAACACCAGAAGACAGCATCAGATCAGGATGTAGTGAAACGTATTTGTGACCTGCCATGTGGATGCTGGAAATTGAACCCAGGCCTCGCTGAGCCATTCCTGGCTTATACTTATATTATTATTATTATTACTATTACTATTATTATTACTATTATTGTGTATGGAGGCAATCAGAGAACCACAGTGCTGATTCGATTCCCTCCTTACCACCTTTCCATAGGTTCTGGGGGCTGAAGTCAGGTTCCCCAGGCTCACTCAGCAGATGGCTTTACCCATGGAGCCATCTTGCTGGCCTTACTTATTTTTAATATTGATTTGTGCAGATGAGTGGGCAGGGAGTGTTGTAGTGGTCAGAGGACAACCTGCTACCGTGTGGGCCCTGGGGAGTGAGACCAGGTGTTTCGCTTTGCAGGAAGCGCCTTTACTCTAAGTAAGGTTTGTCAATGACCCATCTTTATTTTTAAGTTGCATTCTGTTTAGTTTGTGTATACGCATGAGAGAGAGAGAGAGAGAGAGACCATCCGAGCAGGTACAAGCGTGACACAGAGCACACGTTGGAGGTCAGAGACAAGTTTGGGGATTGATTCTCTCCTTCCACCACACGGGCTCCCGAAACTGAACTCAGGTCCTGAGGCATCGTAGCAAGACTTGCTGCTCCCGATTTTGGTTTTTTGTTTTTTTTTTTTTTTGGTTGTTTTGTTTTGTTTTACGAAACAGGGTTTCTCTGTATAACAAATCTGGCTGTCCTAGAACTCACTCTGTAGACCAGACTGACTTCAAACTCCCAGAGATCCACTGCCTCCGCCTCCCAAGTGTTGGGATTAAAGGTGTGCAACATCACAGCCCAGCCAGTTTAAATAATTCTTAAAAGAAAAAAAAAGATGAGGAGTGCCAGGCAGTGGTGGCACATGCCTTTAATCCCAACACTTGGGAGGCACAGGCAGGTGGATTTCTGTGGGTTTGAGGCCAGCCTGGTCTACAGAGCTAGTTTCAGGACAAACAGTGCTGTTACACAGAGAAACCCTGTATCGGAAATAAAAAAAAAAAGAATTATTTTTATTTTATGCATATGAATGTTTCACCTGCATAGATGGATGTGCACCTTGTGTGTATAGTGGGCATGCAGGCCAGAAGAGAGTACTGGATCCCATGGAACTAGACTCACAGAAGACTGTGGACATCAAGTGAGCACTGTACACCCTTACAGAGTCCTCTGCGAGACCAGTGAGTGCTCTAACTGCTGACCCTCCTCCCCAGCTCTTAGCCCTGCCCCGTCTTTCTTAAATTGTTATTGAAAAAATTAAAAAGAAGACACTGAAGGAGGGCCTGACAGTACATGCTTCTAATCCTAGCCCCAGACCAGCCTGGGCTACACAGTGGTGACTGTGTCTCAGAAGACCACCAGAGGAGCTCAGTGCTTCAGAGAATGTGCTGCTCTTGCAAGGACCTGAGCTTAGTTCCTAGTTCACAAGTGTCTGTAACTCTAGCTCCAGGAGATCTGACGCCCTCTGAAGCTGATGCCCTCTGAATCTGGCGGCCTCTGCAGGCACCCGGCACGCACATGCTGCACTGACATACATGCATGAAAAACATCATACACACAAATTAGAAATAAACAAAAATAAACAAGATCTCAAAAAAAAATTAAAAACCAGCAAGCAACAAAAAACAGAAGGCACACAGATCCTCAGGGCTTCTGGCCTCTGTACACACAGCTATAAACACACAGGAACACACAGGTACACACACAGGCACGCAAAAGGTCAGGGTCATCGCCAGCTAAACTGGAAGTTTGAGACAATGTGGGATACATAAGACTATGTATCAAAATATATATATATATATATATATATAATTTTCATGAAATTCAAAATTCCATACTCATAGAATTTTTTTAAACATGCTCACTCATTTACATATTGTCAGCAAAGTTGATCATTATGACAGTGGCC